ACGAGATATCTTCAGAGTGAAAAAGTGTTTTTAACGGTTGTCACTCTGAAGATCGAGACGCTAAAACTTGGCGCCATCAGATAAAAAATGGAAATTAACTTTTGTACAAAATTGTCTATAATCGACATTTCCTTCGAAGTGAAAATCTCTATAGTAGCTTTTAGGAATTTTACCCCTTCTTTACGCTCACTGGTAAGCTTAGAACATACAGGCATTTCACATACTTTTTATCTTTACTTGACTCATCAGTTTAAACTTCTGTATTCGTTTCAGATACTTTCCCAATACATATAAATCACCAGTTGTCGGATCAAGTGCCAATGACACTAATTTATCATTGACTTTCGCCGTAAGATCTACACCGTTTATACCAGTTTCTAAAGTCGATCTAAAAAATTGTACGTAATCTGATCCATCAGTGATGAATATATTTCCATTGCAATCAAGTTGAAAACCACCGGATGACCGATGTCCATTCCATTTCCATGCTGCGATAGTGCCATTTGAATTTCTCATATCCCATTTTAACCATCCGCCATAACCTTTTTGATTCAATATAAACAATTCATCATTGTCAAATGGATTTATGTAAATATTGATTGGAAAAAGTATTCTGTTGGGATCGTAAGTGTCTGGTGTCAAATTCTCTGTTACAATGAGACTATCGGTATAATTCGGTGAAAACCATTTGATAATTCGATGATTATCATAATCCGATGTATAAATATTGAAATCACTGTCCATTGAAATGCCATAACTTTTACCAGAACCAAATCCATTAATGAGTACAATTCCATCGTAGGAATTATTCGTTGATGTCGACGATGGCCAATAAACTACTACACGATACACATATGCATCAGGATTGTTAGCCGATTGAAAATTATCCAAAATAAATACATTTTCATTATCATCAACAAATAATGCAGCTGGATTACTTAATTTTGGATAGAGAGTAATTTCAATTGTTTCATTTGAACTAGTTAGGTACTTTGTAAGTGTATTATTTTGTTTAACAAGTAGATAGAGATTTTTATTATTATTTAAAAAGATTGTATTATCCTCTTGTGAATACCATATCCGATTAACAGCAGTTATACCAGTTTGATTATAAATAGGAATTAGTGGAAGAGGACAATCACGGGTGGTGTTTGCAGACGTAGGAAGACCTGATAAGTAGACAAAAAAAAGGCGAACTTGATTACTCAGTGTACAGCAGTGCTAATACAGGACACCAAAAGGCTTTGTGCAATCAGTAAACCGATGCTAATGCCTACGTTGATGTAAATGGCAAGACAGAACCTGTTTGGTCATCAGTAAATGAAAAATAGCTAATCGATCTTTTAGTATCGAACAAAGGCGACTCTTGACCGGTATCAATTTAGGATTTATTGAACTTAGCATCTAATTTTCAAATGAAGGAGATAGCACACGAGTATGTCGATGGAACGACTTGACAGAATAAGCGAGTTTTTCGAAAAAAACCTATACGGTTAGAATCAGCATCGAATTCTGAACAAAATAGCTCATGTAGTTTCGCAATCGGCATAAAAAACTGAATCGAAGGGATATATGTTTCAATGGGCCGGCGAAGGAAAATTTTATCTAAAATTTTAGCACCAATTTTGAAGGAAAAATTTGGAAACGCCGAGTTTTTCAGAAACCCTACCGGAGCCTTGAAATATACATTATTCTATTCAGTTTTTAGGCTGATTACGAATTGCTCTAAAACGTAATTTTGATGCTCAATATTCGATTTTCATGGATAATTTGGGCAAAGTTACATGTTTGCCGAAATTTCTCTTCACATGCAAGGTTTCTTAAACGTTCAACTCGCTATTCGATTTGAACATGGTAAACGGCATCGATCCATGTGCTTAAATCACCAGTTCATGTTAAACTGGAAACGCAGTAAGCAGATGAAAAAGCCCGTTTTGTGTAAAATCGGGGGTTTTGACTTTAGAATCGGTTTTTACAATCAAAACTAGCTTTGGAGCAAATATTTCAACATATTCTGATAGAACGATTATTTTCTATAAGAACAATTGGTTTTGAAGGTTTCAAGATGGGAAACGACGTCAAGGACAGCCTTGAATCGAACGAAAGCTCGAAATGCCATAGGCCAGAAATTAATTTCTCTCATCAGACTAGGTTTTCAAGCTAAATAATGGGAATATTCGGAATTAGCGTGAAATTTTGCATCTAATGATGCAAAATCTCATAAAAATCTGAGAAAATTGTTTTTTCTAATGTTCCAAAGAGGTCGAGCTTAAAGGCTAACGATTTTCCGAAAAAATGAAAATCGTTTTCTGGGAAAATTAAATGAGCCATTTTCTTCAGAATTCGATGCTGATTCTAACCATATAGTTTTTTCTTCGAAATTTTTAGGACCGAAAAACTCGCTTATCCTATCACGTCCTTTTAACTTTTTAACTCCAACTCATACCAAGATTCCAGTTCTATGGCCCAAAATAAATGAAATTTCGCCTGAGGTTTCTCTGCTACCTTATTCTATAGCGACTTTAATGCTGCTTCAGCGGTGATAGAATTTAGAAGAAATCCTCCTAGAAAACTTGTACTGCTGAGCGTACAATATTTTGTCATAGCACATTTCAACAGGACCCGTTTGCATGTATTAATTAGATAGCTTTTATCGTTTTTGAGCCTATCATCTGTGAGTCGTATTTAGATATCGAAAAAAATTTTACCCCTATTTAACGATAGATAAAAAATTTAATTTTGTATGGTTATTTTGCAGATCAACTAAAAAATTCATTTTGTGAAAAAGTAAACAGGTTATTTCATTTTCGAATATAAGGGTCATGTTGTAACTGTGATGCCGAAAGTACAGGAAAATTACTGAATCTGAAGCCAAAATTTTTAGAATAAAGTTAGCTCATCTTTCTCTACAACCTTTGTAAAAATCAGCCAAATCGGAAAACTTTTACTCCCGTTATCATATCACAAAAATATATTTTACCTGGTTGTCTTATTAAAAATGTTGGTCGTGTTGTTGTTGGCATGACGGTAGCTCTAAATACGGATGATCTACCTTTCGCCTTCCATATCATTGTTAATGCGATGCTAAGTGCTAATAGACTTAAAAATGCTGTAACTCCACTGACAATTGCAATAATAAGTCGCATTCGATTTGATAAACATTTAGATGACGTTGAATCTTCGTCATTTCTAGTCGGTTGAAATGCTAATCCGAGACCGCCGAAATTCATTTCAGAACTAAGATACTAGCAGAAGAAAGCTGAACAGTTATTTCAAAGACTTCAGAGAATGTTCTGTCAAAGGTATCAGTGTCTATAGCAGCGAACTGCACTTTGCGATGTGACGTGTTTTTTTGTGTTTGTAGATTATTTATGCTTGAACTTTTTGGCCTTCATGACACTACTTCCTATTTTTTGTTATTCACTTACTGTTTTTCAAAAAAGTACCTTACGTAAATAACAGAAAGAGAGAGAACAGTATTGTGTTTATATTTTTATCCACACTTCGTATACAGGTGTATGCGTTGGAATATATATCCAACACAGCGACTGCTTAAATTACTAATCATACCTATTATATATATATATTTTTTTCTCTTTTCGCTCTTAAATTTTCGGTTACCTGCAGTGCACTCATTATCGTTAGAAAAAATTCTGTAAATAATCTTTCATGAAAATAAATACATCACATCTGAAAGTCATAGTTCGCTGCAGATCTAGTCATTTGATCGGGCTAGAGGTAAGCTATACTTTTTCTTTATTAAAGTAGAGGTTAGTGCCATTTACTCCTCGATCTGTTTATGGAATTTCAACATTTCTGCAAATGGAATTACTGCACTGGCATTGTGACAGATTTTGACGAAAGCCGGAATTCATTCATTTGGAATTTCTGCTTTTTGCAATAATTTTTTTGGAACTTCAATATCTGTCGAACTTCCAAATATTTTCGAAATTTTGACTATCATTTTGCCAAAAAATAATAGTATCATAAGAATTCCAACAAAAATTTGGATTATGCCGTTAATGACGTCTAGTGATTCGTGTTTGTGTATATATTGTTGTCGAAGAACTTAGTGGAATTTCAACAAAATTCTCTACTTTAATGAAGTGATAGAGAAAAAGAATATTCATCAGCGATGAAAAAGAAAAATATAGAATAAATAACAAAAGAATAATGTTGAGAATAAAATAGTAATAGAACTAAAATGAACAGATGATATGATACAGGGGCAGGGGGTTTAATATCGAAAATGAATGATAAAGGAAACAAATAGAAGTTAATGGTATGAATTGACTTTTTAAATTAATTAAGCCATGATATTACTTTTGACGGTGTTGGAATTACGATGGCGTTGTCAAAATTCCAAAAAATTTTCGGAACTTTGTCAACGCTGTAGAAATTTCAAACTAATTTCTAAATTTGTGGAAATTCTGTTGCAATTTCGACGTATCGAAATCCCAAAGCAGTAATTCCAAAAGCAGATGGAGGAGTGCGCTCTGTCATTTAAGACAATATTCAAAGTTTTAAATGAGTCCTTTTGGGCGGTGGTCAAATTCACTTGAAAATGGCGAGAAATGCACAATTTTCCGCTGAGATAATAGTTCAGCGGTTCTGTAATTTTTACATGCTTCGGCTCAGCATGTCAAGATCTACCAGGAAAGTTGTGTCTCGTCCATTTCGCCGAATATCGACTTCATATAGACAAATCTAAAAGTGTTAATGTCCTTTAAGTGTCGTTCACAGTATGGGAACTACAACATCGAAATCAGCAAGTAACATACAGCTATCATCTATATTTCAACAAAAGCGACGTTTATCGTCGTCTATAAACGATGAAAAGTT